AAGAAACCCACAAAAGACAAGTCACAAATAATGGCTTTCCGTGTGCAGAAATCCTAGAGTAAACCCAGACCTGTGTGCCGTGCCCTTTAACAGGCAACTGTAAAAGTAGGCATCCCAGTGCCGTCTGTTAACAGGACTGGCTGGCAGTAATAAACATTAAATTTACCTAAGGGTTTTCATCATTGCTATTGTCTTTAACATACTTCCCGACAGCCAGGCGGCAGCTTGGCCATTTCCGCAACACTACATTTCCATTGCTTTATTCCTCGGCACAAACGGCCTGTATTATCAGGTGCCCGCAGAGCCTGAGCTTGTGTGTCTCAGAATCGAAGTAAACTTTGTTTCGTATCGGGTTTTGAGACCTGGTCTAGCCCGAGCCGGCCTGGAACTGGAACTCGCTATGGAGATTCAAGTTGGTTCTCCACCTCCGGGAGATCCGCCTGCCTCTGCCTCTTGTATGCTGGGATTAAAGGTGTTCGAGTCCACGCCCGGTTTAGAACCCACGGCGCTTATGCGGTAGCAGTTCGAAGTTCGCCTACGACACCTCTGGGATGACCTAGCCCCCGCCCAGTGGAGCGACTGCGCTATGGGCGTCGCAGCGTTGCAGGGTCCCGGAGCCGACCCGCACGCCCCGCAGCCGCACCTGGGTCCGGGTTAGCGTCGCGGTCACCACGGCCCCGCACAGGAAGGCGGCAGCAAAAAGCGTGAGCTCCACGCGCTGCAGGAAGACCAGCGCCATGGCGAAGTGGACACCAGGAAAGCCGCGCCTGGGAGTCAACCACCCAAGCCCGCCCCACGAGCACGCGTCATTTCCGAACAAGGGTTTATTGACGGAAGCAGAGCCGCGTCATAGCGGCAGGTACAGGGAGTAGTCTGAGAGCGCCCAGCGCCGCGCCGGGCGGCTAGTGCGGCCGATCATGGGCAGCTTCTGCACGTAGCGGGACGCGGGGCTGGGCCCGTAGGGCACGGGGAAGGCAGTTTGGAAGAGGCGCCCGCGGCAGCGCCGCCCCGCCTGGCGCCCGGCGATGATGAAACGGAAGTGCGGGGCGCCGCGGGGCGCGAAGCGGCTCTTCTGGAAGACGTCGCGCAGGCCGGTGCCGGGGCCTTGCTGCCGGGGAGCGCCCCGCGCCCGGTGCACACGCGGCAGCGCCCTGCTCTCCGCGGCAGGCGCGGAGGCCGACGCGGGGCCCGCGCCCCGGGGGCTCTCGTCCCGCTGCGGGCTGACCATGGCGCTGGCTGTCAGCTGCGGCATCTTCCGCACCGCGTCCTGGGCGGCCGCCGGCTCTTTCTTGTCTCCGGGAGGTCGCGGGGCCTTGGGCGCGGGCTGGCCGGTGCCGAAGCGTGTGGCCAGGCTGTCCCCGAAGAAGGCGTAGAGCTCGCGGTAGATGTCGGCCAGAGTCAGGGAAGGAGACGGGTCCTCTGGTCCCACGCCCCCCGGCGGCAGCGGCAGACTGGACCCGAAGCTGGGCTCGGCGCCGCCCCCGGGGGGAGACTCCTGGAGGAGGAGGCTGTCCCATGGCAGGTCCTCGGCACGTTGCCACCCGCCGCCCGGGCCCCAGCGGTTGGGCTCTGCGGCCTGGGCTTTCATCTTCAGCAGTCGCTCTACAGCCACCTGTAAACAGAGAAGTGCGTGGGACCTGGGCCCACCAGTATCCGGTGTAAACCTGGGGACTCATGCCGCAAGGGGAAGCTGAGGTGGCACTCACCAGAATAGCTCCGTAGACTTTGTGCCCATCTGCTTTGACCTGGGCATTTGATACCGAATAGTCATCCAGCACAGCCTGCAAGTTTGTCCAGTAAGTGGACAGATGTGGGTACAGGACTCGTTCTACTGCCTGGGGGGGGGGGGGGGGGGGGAAAAAAACAGTGTTCTGGTAGTTGAAAGAAAGGGTAATGTAGGATGTGTCACTCCCGCGGGGGGGGGGTGGGAGAAGGAACGCAGTAGCACCTCTTCTTCCTCTTCACTTTCCCCTTCCCACAAAAGAGCTACTGTGCTCTCAAGGCTAAATTCCCCCAAAATACTCAGCATTTCCTGGGACCTGCTGTATGTCCAAGCCTTGGTAGGCATGGGAGATAAAGATGGCACAAAGTAGGCCCTGTAAAGTGACCCATCACTAGCATTTACCAATGGCATACTTGGTATGCCATTACAAGTCTAACACACATACTTAGTTTCAGCAGGAAAGCACTGTGCTCATGTGAGCGAACTGACCTCCGACCACCCACACAAAAATAAGCAATGAGAGACCTGGACTCTATCTTTGGGTTTTTTGTTTTGTTTGTTGAGATGACCTTGCTGGTAGCCCAAACCATCCGTGAGCTCAAGTGGATCCCCTTCAGCTTCCTGGGTGTTGGATTACAGGCATGTATTACCACACATAGCTTTAATTGTAGAATTTTAAGTTGTGCAGTTATTTTGAAGAAAAGCAATCAAGACTAAACAAAGGAGGTGACATTTGTGATGGGCTTTGATGCATATACAAGGCAAACTTTGTTCACTCATCCACAGTGAACATTTGAAAATGTTGATAAACTGTCAGTACCCTAGGAAAAATGTTATGGACAGTCACAAAGAAATAGGGACACATTTAAAACTAACTATGTAACTATGAAAGACACTAAAACATTTTGCTAAAATTTACAGAAGACTAGGGCTGGAGAGATGGCTGGTGATTAACAGCACCCGTTGCTCTTTCATAGGACCCAAGTTCAGTTGCCAGCACCCATGTCTGGCAGCTCACACCTACCTATAACTCCAGCTCAAATGGGATCAGATGTCTCTGGCCTCCAGTGGGCCCCTGCACCTATGTACACACACACACACACACACACACACACACACACACACACCTTTAAAGAAAAGTTTACCAAAGTCTACAGACACATCCAGGCAAAGTTGCACACGTCTTTAGTCCCACCCATTTGGGAGGCAGAGGAAGGCGGATCTTGGTGAGTTCCAGGGTAGCTATAGCTGTATAGACCCAGTCTCAAAAATAAATAGATAAATAATAAAATAAAACTATAGACACCCAGAAAAGTGATCTTGATTTAAAAAAAACAAAAACAAATCTTATCCAGGTGTTGGAGTACAGGTCTGTAACCTCGGCAATCAGGAGACTGATTGAAAGTGAGGGCAGCCTGGACATCATTTTAAGTCCCTTTGGCAAAAATAAAAAGGACTGAGGGGGCTGGCAAGATAACCAGCAAGTAAAAGTACTTGCTGCACAAGCCTGGCAACCTCAGCTCGAACCCCAAAACCCACAAAAAAGGTGGAAGGAGAGAAAACAGAATTGTCCTTGGACCCCCATACATGCACAGACATCATGCATACATACTTTTTTTTTTTTTTTTTTAATGTATAGGCGTGTATTGCCTGCATGTAGGTATAAGTGCACCCATGTTGTGCAATGCCTGAGGAGGTCAGAAGAGGCTGTTGGATCCCCTGGGACCGGAGTTATGGACAGCTGTTAGCTGCCATGTGGGTGCTAGGATTTGAACCGGGTCTTCTGCAAGAACAACCAGTGTTCTTAACCACTGAGCCATCTCTCCAGCCCCAATACACAACTTTTTTAAAAAGGGGGGACTGGAGAAATGACTCAGTGGTTAAGAGCACTTACTGAACTTAGTTCTCAGCAGCCATGTCAGGTGGCTCAAAACCACCTGTAACTCAAGCACCAAGTGATCTGATGCAGTCTTCTGGCCTCAGGTACCAACACTCACATGCACATACACATAACTAAAACTAAGTCTTAGCCAGGCACAGTGGCTCCCCTCTTATTTTTGAGACAGGGTCTCACTATGTAGACCAACCTGGCAGCAATCTGCCTGCCTCTGCCTCCCAAGTGCTGGAATTAAAGGTGTGTGTCACCACACCCATCCCACCACTTCTTCACCCCCTTTTTTCAGGCAGTATCTCACTGTGTAGCCCTGGCTGGCCTGGAACTCACTATGTAGACTAGACTAGCCTCAGGCACCACCACAACCAACCCACACACCACTTTTACAATAAAAGACATACCAGTACTGTTTTTCCAACATACATTAACAATTCTTAAGGCTATGTGATAAAGGTGTCTCACCTTCCAGCCTAGAGCATGCAGCCCTACCACAGCCCCATAGTGAGAACAGAGAGGCCGCACAGGGTCTGCCAGGACTTTCTGCAGGGAGAGCAGGATCTGCTGATACAGGCCACTCACAAGGTCCCCATGAGTCCTAGAGGAGAGAGCAACAGTTAGGGAGGGAATGAGGTAGACTACATGGAAAGACTAGCATTTGTATGGCATTCTGAGCATGCTGTTATAAGTGAATGAGGCTTCCAGGATAGACTGGCCCAGGACCTAAGGGACAAAGATCTTGGTATATTTATGCATCAGTGACATGTCATATCAGCCAGGAGGCTGTAAGGAAAGGTTCTACACCTTCTCAATGTACAATCTTAAAGCCAGATGCTTCATTCTAGCTCCCAAACCACTCCACTCTGTAATAATCCCATTCCCCGTTCTGCTCAAGGCCCAGTGGATACCAGAAGATGTGGCTGAGTAGGAGGGCAGCCCCATCCCGAAGAGTCCAGTGGTCATTCAGGGGGTTGATGGAGGCAGCCAGTGGCTCCAAGACACAGTAGAGCACACTGCCCACCAAAGAGCGGACATAGGGTCCCAGGCAGAGGTGTGGGTTCCGAATCAGGCTCCGTGCCACCTGCAAGAGTCGATGAAGCTGCTCCAGGTCGTGGCTTACAGATTTTACCTGTAAGGAGGAGGTAGCTTAGGGCGACATGGCGGAGGGACAGGAGCCTGCCATTCTGAAAGCTCCTGCCATGATCTTACACACTGTGGGTCATCTTCCCACAAAACACTCCACCCCAACCAGTCACTTACCCCACTGACAACATAAACAAAGTAAGGCAGGAGTGCTGCAATCTTGGAGTTGGTCTGCAGGTCCTGGAGGGCAACCTGAAAGGAAGGGTCCAAACTGTTCTGGAACCATCACCTCAAGTTAAAAAAAAGGCCACTTTTTGGAGAACATTCATGTGTTAAATATGCACTCCTTGATCTAGAAATTCTATCCATTTAACCTCAAGAAACCCACTGAGACACACAGCACTCTGTTAATACAAAGTGAACACTGGCTGGGTGTGGCACAGGGGGCAGGAAAGCTACGAGTCTGAAGCCACCCTGACCATCTTTCAAAAAGAAAAAGAGAAGTGTGGCAGTGAAATGGTTCAGAGAGTAAAAATACTTGTCTCACAAGCCAGTCAACCTGAGTTCAATTTCCAGAACCTACATAGAGGTTGCAGGAGAGAACTGATTCCACAAAGTTGTCCTCTGACCTCACGCACACATTGTGGCATGACATCATGTGTGCCTGCATGTGGGCACACACACACACAACAGTAAAAAGAAAGTAATATAATCTAATTGCCCAACACTGTTTTGGGTCTTCTGAGATGGGCCTGATGTAGGTCAAGCTGGCGTTATACTTTTGATCTTCCTGCCTCCCATCTCCCAAGTGCTAAGGGTACAGGTATTTGTCACCATGTCCAACTGTCTAACATTTTCAACTAAGAAAAGCAAGTAAGGGGTTGGAGAGATGGCTCAGCAGTTAAGAGCACTGAATGCTCTTGCAGAGGACCAATGTTTGATTCCCAGCACCCACATGGCAGCTAACAACCATTCGCAACCCCAGTTCCAGGGGATCTGATGCCTTCTTATGATCTCCTCGGGCACTGCACAACATGAGTGCACTTATACATTTGCAGGCATTACACTCAAACACATGAAAAATAAAAATAAAGGCTGGGCATAGTGGTGCACTCCTTTATTCCCAGTACTTGGGAGGCAGAGGCAGGTGGATCTCTGTGAGTTCAAGGCCAGCCTGGTCCTCACAGTAAGTTCCAGGACAGCTGGAGCTACAGGGAGACCCTGTCTCAAAAAGACAAAAATAAATGAATAAATAAATAAATAAATAAAAATTAAAAAAAAGAAAGAAAAGAAGAGCAAGTAAGGCTTTGTGGCCTGTAATCTCAGCACTTGAGAAGCTGGGGCAGAAAGATTGCTGCAAGTTTGAGGCTAGCCTGACCTACATGGTTCCAGGCCAAGGGCTATACAGCAAGACCCCTGTCTCAAAGAAAACAAACACAAAACAACTATAAAGCCAGATGCCCCTTATGCTTGTACCAAGGAAACGGGAACAGAAATAGGAAGAAACATGAGAATGAGAACTAGTTCATATGCTTTTACATTGTATGTGATTTCATAATATACACTAGCATTACAGAAACAGTAAAAACACCTCAGCCATCAACTGTTATCTCTAGACCTTCCAGACTTAGATAAAGATGTGAAACCCAGAAGCCAAGGAAGCAGCCAGCAGGCAAGGGGAGGGGCTCAGCTCCAGGCCCCACAGCCACCAGCCAGCATCCCCAAGAAGCAGGAGCTAAGTTGTCTTTAGGTTTTGTTTCTTTATGCTTTTAGGGTTTTATTGTTTGGTGAGATAGAATCTTACAAGCAGCCCAGGCTAGCTTCCAACTCTGCATATAACCCAGCCTAGCCTCAAACTTCCAGTCTTCCTACCTACATGTCCCAAGTGTGGGAAGACAGGCATGTACCGGCATGCTTGGTTTGGTTTCCTGTTATTTTTCTTACTTTTTTTCTTTTTTGGTCTTTTTGAGACAGGGTCTCCCTGTAGCCCCAGCTGTCCTAGAACTCCTCATATAGACCAGGCTGACCTTGAACTCACAAAGATCCACCTGCCTCTGCCTCCTGAGTACTGGGATTAAAGGCGTGCACCACCACGCCTGGCATCAGTGTTGGGAATCCAATCCAGGGCTTCACATATGCTAGGCAGGGCTCAACCACTGACTCACATCTTTAGCCAGGAGCCAAGTTGTAGAGACAGAAACAGAAGCTATAAGGTCAAAGGCAGAGGCAGCAACCAGGCACATGAAGATTGAGGATATAAACTGTCACACAGAGCCTCATGACTGAGCAGACCACAAACCCTCATCTGACCATGGACACGGACACAAGAGGAAAAAATAAGGATGGTGTCCTGAGGTTAAAGCAACAGTAGCTGGAACCAGCCCAGGAGCCAGTTCTGTAGAGCAGCCTGGCTGGGCATAGGGTGGGGGGCACCCCCATATGGCTGGGCACGGGGTGGGGGGCTCCCAATCTGACCTCTCTGCTGCTTCTCCTTTCCTGCCCAAGTCAAGATAATGCCTCATTTGGCCCCAGATCAATAGACACCTCAAAAATGGGACTCCAGAATGAAGGTGTAGGATGACAATCACCTGAGCCCCTCTCCCAAAGGGCCTGCTGAGCTGCCCATTCCCAAAGAACGAGGGTTTCTACTTAAAGCATAAAGGAGTCAGGACTAGCATGGAAGGAAGGCCATTTCCAGCACCACACCCACCCAGAAAGCAAGTTCCACCCACACTAACTAGTTCATCTGCAGAAGACAAAACCTAGACAAACTGAAAATTTTTTCAAAAAAGAATGTTTGCAGCTGGGCGTGGTGGCACATGCCTTTAATCCCAGCACTTGGGAGGCAGAGGCAAGCGATCTCTGTGAGTTCGAGGCCAGCCTGATCTACATAGTGAGTTCCAGGCCAGCTGGGGCTACTGGGAGACCCTGTCTCAAAAGAGACCCCCCCCAAAAAAGATAAAATGTTTCACTTTGTGCCCTGACCCACTCTGTCACCTTCATCAACTGTGGGTCATCTCCTAGCACAGCACGTGTCACTTGCTGGTAGTACTTGAGCAGGTCATCCGTCAGTGAGGACACAGCACTGGGCACTGGAGCAGAGAGGCAGGAGTGGTGAGAGGTAAAGGGATGGTCCTCTGGAGGCTTCCTCAGCCTGCTGCCCCATGCCCAACAACAACCCACAAGGAACCCAGTCAAGCAGAACCACCAGGCAGAGGCTCTAGTGGCTCTAAGCAGTCAGATCCTCCCTGATCAGACAGGCTCCATATGCCTTAGCGCTGGCTGCTGTCTCCCACCCACTCTCTACCACAGAGATGCCTGCTCAGTTCTCAGACCCCCAATTCACAAGACTTGGGCTCTCTGAAGCTCTGCTGGCCATCTCCTGAAGTGAGACATTTCTCCTCAAGGACCTCAGTATGCAGCCCAGACTTCCACTTTGGCCTCCAACATGCATTCTGAATAGATACAGATCTGGGCTCCCCCCGCTAACCATAAGCCTCTGGGCAGGGACCTGTGTCCCCTCAGAACATGGTACAGAAAGATGTAGACCAAAAGGCATAGAGGCAGAGTTCTGCCAGACAGCTCATTCTCCACACAGCCCTTTACCTGATCCTTGAGGTGCCAGGTTCCCTTTGCCATCCAGATAAGAGACATGAACTAGGGCCAGGGGAGAGAGATGTCAGTTGGGATTTTACCTGTCTAAATCCTGCCCTACCCACCAGTCAGCCCATGAGTACCACTCTGACCATCCAGTCTTGTCCAGAACCCCCTCCGCCGACCCGTCCAGAAACCCTGGCAGCCACCTCTGACAGCTGTCTCTGCGCAGCCCTTGGGGATGTTGGTGGCCAGCGCCAGCTCCACTAGATTCACTTCTCGGTCCTCAGGAAAGTAGAGCTCACCCTCCCTAGCAGGGCGCAAGGGCAATACTTCCTGTGATCCATAGCCACACACAGCCTGGGGAGAGAGGGGATGGGCAAGCAAGCTGAATTCAGGAGAGAAACAAGTGTCAGGGTGGGGATCTCCTGACCAGGAGCCTACAGGAGGGAAGTCCAGAGGTCCTGAGAGGTGACGGAAGCCTGGGTTCAGAGCCGCCACAGAACTTGACTGGATAAGACTCACTGGATCAAGTGGTTATTGACTGTCCTCACATAACTGTAGGAGTTCCATGACCCACTGGTTCTATACAATCCTCTGCAGCCTCAGGACTATACCAAGATACAATAAGAGTCTTATGTTTCTTTAGGTTCTTCCTTTACTCGCCATGCCTTTTTTTTTTTTTTTTTTTTGTTTTTCTTTTTTTCCCCCCTCCTTTTTTTTTTTTTTGGTTTTTCCTTTTCCCCCCCTGCCTTTTTTTTTTTTTTGGTCTTTTTGAAACAGGGTCTCCTACCTCAAGCTTTCCTGGGACTCACTATGTAAACCAGGCTGGCCTTGAACTCACAGAGATCTGCCTGCCTCTGCCTCTGCCTCCAGAGTGCTGGGACTACAGGCGCGTGTCACCACGCCCAGCTCAGCATGCCTTCCTTTACTTCTGGAGTACTTCAATCCAAGCTCAAATTCCAAGACTCTAAGGCCTAGCTCAAGTTCTACTTCTTCTCTATGAAACCTTCCCTACCCTCCACTCATTAGGAACTCTTACTCCTTTGGTCTGGGTCCAGCATCTGGCCTACTGCTGCTGTTTCTGTCTTCATGCCTCTACTATATTGCCATCCCTGAGCTGGGCAACAGAAGTGGGCTCATGCCACCTGAGCCCTCTGTAGCGGCTCTCTGCTTACCTCCACACTGCTCCATCTCAGAGCCCTGTTGAAGTCCTCCACCGTCAGCTTCCGTCGTTTGGTGTGCTTCATGAACTGAGAGCTATTCTGAGAGGAGGAAAAGAAGCCAGATCAGAGGGCAGGGAGGTGTCTCAACCCCCAAGTGAAATGGGTGAGATGGAGGAGAAGACAGAGGACACAACACCAGCAATCCAAAGGCCTGGACTTCCAGTTCAGCTCTTGCACAACCTCCCCCAAGTGTCACGTTCCCTCAGTGTACAGAGTATGATCATCTGTTCTGCTGAGGCAGCAGGACTGTTATGGGAGCACATGAGAAAACTTTCAGCGAGTGTTTCATTTTCTAGAAGCCTGGCTGGCTGCAGAGGAGCTCTATAAAGGACCTAGACTGTGTTCTGAAAGCACAGGTAAGTACCCAACACGTACTTAGTGAATAGGACAGTGTGGGTGTGGGTGTAGGTAATGGGGAAAGAGCAAAGGGAACGGGGTGCAGGGAACTGGGAGGAGCACACCTGTGTGGCCTCTCGGAGACGGTAGCACACATCTTCAGCAAGCAGAGCTGCCACCTCATCACTCAGCTCTAGCCCTGTGCTCTCTGCCATGAGTCGGACAGACTCCCGAGGGATCTCCACAAACCTCCGCTCTTCTCGCTCTGACATGGTGGAGCTAGGAATGAAGGTGAAGATTTGAAATGCCCCAGTATCTCTGAGATCCCCCCAAGTCTCTCACATAACCAAAAGCTCACCTATTCAGCTATATTGGCTGACAAGCAAGCCCCTCTTCACTTCCCCAGCACTGGGGTTACAGGTGTGTGCCACAGTGCATGGCTTTTTACTTGGGTGTTAGAGATCCAAACTCAGGTCTTCATGTTTACACAGCAAGCACTTTACCAAGTAAGCATCTCCACAGCCTCTGTTTCTGACTCTTAAAGCCACCATTAGCAAAATGTTGATGGAACAACACTTTTTTTGTTTTTAAATACCTTGTTTTTATTTTATGTGTATGAGTGTTCTGCCTGCATATGTGTAAGTGTAATACATGTGTGCAGTCCCTGCAGAGTCTAGAAGAGTGTCAGATCCCCTGGAACTGTAATTACATACAATTGTTAGCTACCATATCGGGTGCTGGGTACTGAACCTGGGTCCTCTCCAAGAGCAACAAATGCTCTTAACTGCTGAGCCATCTCTCCAGCCCCCTACCTTGTCTTGGGATAGGGACTTAGACACTGTAGTGCATGCTGTCCTCTCACTACTTAGCCTAGGTTGGCCATAGCAGTCTTCCTCCCTCAGCTTCCCAAGTACTGGGATTACAGGCTTGAGTCACCACACCCAGCTTGAAAACAATTATATCTTGATGTCTTGCCAAAAAATTGGTAATTCCTTACTGTTTATAAAACAAAAGTCCAAACTCTATGGTTAGACGTACTGCAACATTTGCTCCCAAATCTCTATAACTATTCCATCTGATCTCACTTCCCAATAGGCTAGGCTAGGACCTTCTGACCCTACCTTAACCCTCTCCACTCAGGTTGTTCTCCCTAACACATCCCACCCTACCCCGTCCTCTGTGCTATGGCAAATCCGGCCTCTAAGACCTTTTATCCCAAATTCCACCCAGGGAGTGTCAGGCTTATATTTTATTTATTAATTTTATTTTCTGTGTATCAGTGTATTGCCTGCATGTGGGTAAGTGCACCTGTGTCATGTAATGCCCATGGAGGTGAGAAGAGGGTGTCAGATCCCCTGGAACTGGAGTTATGGATAGTTGGTAACCACCATGCGGCTGCTGGGAACTGAACCCGGGTCCTCTGCAAGAACACCCTGTGCTCTTAACTGCTGAGCCATCTCTCCAGCCCCTAGAGAATAGATTTTTCTAGCATAAGCCTGCTCTTTCCCAGTTTGGCTACAAGACCTGCTCCATTTTCAGGATAGGACAGAAAATGAACTCAACAAAAACAGCACCTGAGGACTGACTCCAACAAACACACCATAAATGGAAGACATACAGGAACACAGATGCCAAGGTAAGGCCACAGTACCTCTGGCTTCAAGTCCAGGGTACAATAGCTGGAGACCAGCCTGGTCTACATAGTGAGTTCCAGACCTGCTGGAGCTACAGGGAGACCCTGTCTCAACAAGACCAAAAACCACCCCACCTTACTTCAGGACTTTCTTCTGTTTGGAACTCCCTCCTCCTTGTTCTCCACCCCCATCTCTTTGTCCAGTGATCTCCTACTCCCTCCTTCAGATCACTTTTTGGATGTCACTTGCTCAGGGAGGTCTTTCCAGATCGCCCAGATGTCCTTATAATTGCCTTCAAAGCAGTTATGAGGCAGAAGTATTGCAAGTTCAAGGCCCACCTGTGCAACAAAGCAGGTTCAAGGCCAGCCTGGGCAACTCAGATAACCTCAAAAGAAAAAATAAAATGAGCTGGGTGTGGTGGCACACGCCTATAGTCTTGGCACTCTGGAGGCAGAGGCAGTCAGATCTCTGTGAGTTCCAGGCCAGGCTGGTCTACTTAGTGAGTTCCAGTCCAGCTGGGGCTACAAGGAGAAAACAGTTTCAACAATAACAAAGTTTGTTTGTTTGTTTGTTTTTTGGTCTTTTTGAGACGGTCTCCCTGTACCACCAGCTGTCCTGGAACTCACTATGTAGATCAGGCTGGCCTTGAACTCAGAGATCCGCCTGCCTCTGCCTCCCAAGTGCTCGGATAAAAGGCATGCACCACCACGCCCGGCACACAAAAAAGTTTTAAAAAGGACTGGTGGGGCTGGAGAGATGGCTCAGCGGTTAAGAACACTGACTGTTCTTGCAGAAGACCAGGGTTCAAATCCAAGCATCCATATGGCAGCTAACAACTGTCCATAAATCCAGTTCCAGGGGATCCGATGGCCTCTTCTGTCCTCCATGGGCATTGCATGACACGAGTGCACTTACATACAAAAATAATAAAATTATTATTATTTTTTAATTAAAATAGCCAGGCGTGGTGGCACATGCCTCTAATCCCAGCACTTGGGAGGCAGAGGCAGGCGGATAGCTGTGAGTTCAAGGCCAGCCTGGTCTACCAGTTAGTTCTAGGACAGCTGGGGCTACAGGGAGACCCTGTCTCAAAAAGACCAAAAAAAAAATTAAAATAAAAAGGACTGGAGATATAGCTCAGTGGTAGTGAGCTTGCCTAACATGTGTGGGGCCCTAGATTCAATCTCCAGAACTGAAAAAAAGTTTGCAATTATAGGGGCTGGAGAGATGGCTCAGCAGTTAAGAACACTAGTTGTTCTTGCAGAAGACCCGGGTTCAAATCCCAGCACTCACATGGCAGCTAACAGCTGTCTGTAACTCCATTCCCAGGGAATCCGACAGCCTCTTCTGAGCCCCTCAGGCATTGCACATCACGGGTGCACTTACCTACATAGGCAATACACAAATACACATAAAATAAAAATATTTTTTAAAAAAGTTTGCGGGGCTGGAGAGATGGCTCAGTGGTTAAGACCACTGCCTGCTCTTGCAGAGGACCCGGGTTCAATTCCCAGCACCCACATGGTGGCTACGAACTGTCCTTAACTCCAGTTCCAGGGGAATCTGAAGTCCTCTTCTGACCTCCACGGCATTGCACAACACGGGTGCACTCACATACATGCAGACAATACACTCATACACATAAAATAAAAATAAAAAATAAAATATAAAAAAAAGTTTGCAATTATATATTTACATAACTTGTGCAAGTGTGTCTATGTATGTGTCTGTGTTCCTAGAGGGGACATTAGATACCACTCCTCCTTAGGTAGGTTTTTGAGACAGGCTCTCTCACTGGGCCCTGAGGTTCACAGATTAAGTTAGGCTGGCTGGTCAATGAGCCCCAGGGATCTGCTTGTCTTGAACTGCCCAGAGCTGTGATTATAAGTACATATCACCATACCCAACTTCTAGCACCACGTCCACTCTTTTCCAGTGGGTGCTAGAGAACTCAACTCAGTCTCCTGCTTGCATAGCAATACAACTGAGCCATCTCCCCTGCCTTCATCTGTGTAACTTTTTGATGAACTTCTGGCTCCCCACTAGATTGTAAGCTCCACACCAGCAAATATCAAGTGTGTTGCCCACCTTTGCATCCCCAGCGTCCAGCAGTGTCAGCACACACTACACACTCATTAACGCTTGCTGAAAAAAGAAAGAATAGCTAATTTTCTTCTTTCTTTTTTTTTTTTTTTCTTTTGGTCTTTTTGAGACAGGGTCTCCCTGTAGCCCAGCTGTCCCGGAACTCATTATGTAGACCAGGCTGGCCTTGAACTCACAGGGATCCGCCTGCCTCCGGCTCCACGCCGGGCTGAATAGCTAGTTTTCTAAGTGCATAAATGCCTGTGGAACGAAGCTTAGAACCCTGTAAGATCTCACTGAATCCTCACTGATAAGAGATATAGGGTATGCGTTTTGTCTTTTTCATAAAGGAAGTCAAAGCTCCAAGCTCCAAGATCATCCAGAGAGCACTGAGTAATATAGACTTTAGGGGCTCAAGTCCTTGTAGTTAATCAACCCAGGATACTTTATTCACGAGATGCAGGTTTGTGTGTCGAACAAGGCCTGCATTTGGAGCGCAAGGACTTGGCCTCGGAGACCCACCGCTAGACACAGGTAAGCTTCAGCTTCCCCATCTGTAAAATGGGAGCACAGCCCTATGAGGAAAGACAAGAGGGAGTTTCTCTATTATGTGCCCCCATTAATACCTCACAAAGTCTGGGCTGACTAAGGTCTCCTACTCCGGCACAGCCTCACCTCCATCCCAGTCACTCTTGCCAGGAAGCCTGGGAACTGACCTCTAAGGGCCTCAGGGATGCGCATCCTCCCACCCAGCACCGCTCAACCCAGACCCAGAGAGCAAGAGGGGGAAGGGTCAGGAGGGTGACGGAACTTGTGTCACGTGGTCGGGGGAGGGGGCGGGCCTCAGAGGAGCTGGCTGCGGGGCTGCGAAGCGGCCAGGCAGGACCCGAGCGCATGGACCCAGCAAGGCCTCCTCACCTGTGAGCGCGGGCCAGGCGAGCGCGGCTGCCCAGGCTGCGGTGGCTTCACTCACCCGGCTTCCACTCATTCCCTCGCTGGGCACCCTGGCCTCGCCCTCCAGAGAATAGCCAATCTGCGGCCGCCCAGCAACTGTCCCCGCCCACCAGGGGTGTCCCACGTTGTGATTGGGCCGTGTGAACGTGCAGTAAAGACTCCGGGCGTTGGAGGTCACGTGGCGCGGAAGCGTCGCTCTTCTTAAAGCTACAGCTTTTGCTGCCTTGCCAACTGGTACCGGTTCGGCATACCGTTTTTGGTATTTGCTCTCCCTTTCCTTAGTCTTTTTGAGTCCTTTTCTTTAGTCTTTTTGAGACAGGGTCTCCCTGTAGCCACAGCTGGCCTGGAACTCATATGTAGACCAGGCTGGACTTGAACCCACAGAGATCCACCTGAGATGAAAGGCGTGCGCCACCTCGCCGGTTTAGCATAGGATTAATAAAGGTATTCTTCGGTGCTGGAGAGATGGCTCAGCGTTTAAGAGCACGGACTGCTTTTGCAGAGGACCCGGGTTCGATTCCCACCACCCACATGGCGGCTACTAACTGCTCTTAACTACAGTTCCAAGGAAATCTGAAGCCCTCTTCTGTCCTGGCATTGCACGACTTTGGTGCACTCACATACATGCAGGCAATACACTCATACACATAAAATAAAAATATTTCTTTTAAAAAAGGTATTTTTAGGGTCCTTGGCCCTAGTTTCCGACAACTTGCATTGGTGCCTGACTTAGCTTTGCTTCTCAATTACGTCTCCAAAAAGCTCATCAACATCGCTTGCTACTTCGCCTTCCTAGAAGGAAAAATACGGTTCCCGGGAGCTGTTCTCTGCTGAGCACGACCTAGCTTCACTGGGCTCCTACTTCCTCCATCCTACTGGCTCATATGCTCTTAGTCCTTACTTTTAATTAATTGACTTATTAATTTGGTCTTTTTGAGACAGGGTCTCTCTGTAGCCCCAGCTGTCCTGGAACTCACTATGTAAACCAGGCTGGCCTGAACTCACAAAGATCCGCCTGCCTCTGCCTCCTGAGTGCCGGGATTAAAGGTGTGTACCCTGCTGCTCTTAGTCCTTATTATCTCTAAAGGAACAGACCAGGTTATTACAAGTACCCTCTGTCCCCCCCTCCCCCTTTGAGTAAAGATCTTTCTCGGCATCTCTGCCTAGCCATGAACTCATATGTAGACCAGGCTGGCCTGGTACCTGCAGCAATCCTCCTGCCTCAGCCTCAGAGTGCTGGAATTACAGGCTTGTGTCACCATGCCTGGCTCGCAGTTCTGTTGATAAGTGGTGGACTTATTTATTGATGGTATGTGAAGTCAGGGCAGTCGAGAGTCCATTTTCTGACACTGCTTTTGAGCAAATTATACAACCACACGCCTCCCTCCCCTTTGTAAAAGAGAGCGAATGGGAGTGCTGAGGCAAGAGGATTGCAAGTTTCAGGCCTGAGGAGGCTAAATATGGAGTAAGAGGTTAGCCTGAGCTACATATAGTGAGACCGTATCTCAAAACAACAGGCAGTTGTTTGCTGATCTTCACTGCTATGCCTGCCTGGTTTCCTGAGTCTTAACTTTTCTTTTACCCTATCCCTTCTTTGGGTACCAACTAAAGTCCTACATATGAGTGCAGAGATTCTGGAAATCCTTTCTCTGAAAACCAATACCCACCCCTGCAAGGCAGCAGCTTGCCAACCTCCATTGCTAAACCTGCGGGCTCTCAAGGACTGTGACTCAAAGGGTATGGCTGTCTTCTCCATCTGCCTCCCAGCAGCTACTGAGATGTTCAGCTTGAAGGTTCTGTTCTTTTTCTCTCAAACTTCAGTGATGAAAGTGGCCAGCAAAGTGGAAGATTTAACTTTTACTAACACAAAAAACTTTTTTCTTTTTTTTGTCTTTTTGAGACAGGGTCTCCCTGCAGCCCCAGCTGTCCTGGAACTCACTATGTAGACCAGGCTGGCCTTGAACTCACAGAGATCTACCTGCTCTGCCTCCCAAGTGCTGGGGTTAAAGGCACGCGTCATCACTCCTGGCCAAATCTTCCATTTCTATCAGTCTGATGTTTGGCAAGTTCATCCACAGCCCATGCATTCAGCAGCAGCTACCTCTGGCTCCCTAGACACCCAGTGCCTGGAAAGAACCAATTGCTTTGATTTTAGACAGTTGCCAGGCATGTTGGTGCATACCTGTGAGCCCTGGACTTAGGAGGCTGGGGGCAAGAGGGTCAAGGACAGCCTGAGCTACAGTGTGAGACCCTGTTTCAAAAACAAAAATCATAGCTCCACTACATTAGTTGTGTGACCTTAGGGACTCTGTTCTGATCAATTTTATTAGGTGTAATGCAGGATAAGTATTTCATGGAACAGATGTGATGATTCAGTAACTGTGTAAAGAAATGGGCACTTTTCCAGGCATGCAGTACTTTATAATTAGCTTGGACAAATTTTTGAGATTCTAGGCTGGGCATGGTGGCACACACCTTTAAACCCAGCACTTGGGAGGCAGAGGCAAGAGAAGATTTCTATGAGTTTGAGGCCAACCTTTGCTAATTGAGTTCTGGCCAGCAAGGGCTCTGACCTCCAGATGCTAGCTGTGGCATATACACAGCCATACACATGCACACACAAGATCGGAAGAGAAATGGAGATGTCCACACTAGGTCCCTTCCCAGGGCCAGGTTTCTTGTCTTACACCCTTTGTCCTCCCCAGCAATCACAGGCTCAAGTTCTACAAGCTGCTTCTCCCAGCTTGATATTTAACTGTAGGTCATAGGTGCAATTTATAAATAAGAGGTTTAATTTCATTAGGGGGACAAACTTTACTTAGTGAGACCCACACTGTTTAGGAGCTGGAAACATCCTTTATTTGTGCAAACAATGCATAGTGGAGTACTACCTCCAACTGTGACATCATCTCCACTGGAAAAAAACCCTGTAAATCCAGCACACAATTTCTTTCTTTTTGAGACAGGGTCTCTCTGTAGCCCCAGCTGGCCTTGAACTCAGAAATCAGCCTGCCTCTGCCTCCCAAGTGCTGGGATTAAAGACATATACCACCACACCTGGTTTCCTTTATTTTTTATTTTTGGTCTTTTTTGAGACAGGGTCTCTCTGTAGCCCCAGCTGTCCTGGAACTCACTTTGTAGACCAGGCTGGCCTTGAACTCACAGAGATCTGCCTTCCTCGGCCTCTGGAGTGCTGCTAACCTGGTCTACATAGTGAGTTCCAGGACAGCTGGGGCTACAGGGAGACCCTGTCTCAAAAAGACAAAAAAAAAAAAAAAAAAAAAAGAAAAAGAGATTCATTTAGAGCCAGGCATGGGGACCCACAACTGTAGTCCCAGCACTTGGGAGGCAGAGGCAGAGGCAGGTGGATCTTTGTGAGTTCCACGCTAGCCTGGTCTACATAGTGAGTTTCAGGCCAGTTGGGGTTACAGGGAAACTCTGTCTCAAAAACAACAAAAAAGCCACATATGGTAACAAACACCTGCAATCCCTACACTTGGGAGGAGGAGAAAGCAGAAAGAAACAGAACACACAGCAGTTCAAGGCCAGCACAAGTTATATAAGAAGCCATCTCAAAAGCAAGCAAACAACAATAATAAAGCCATTATTCCTACCAAGAGAAGACACTTCCATGAGAACCAAGGACATTTTATGGTTAGAACAGCCAGTCGAAAGTCTTGGCACAGCAGCTAAGCTAGACAAAGCACCAGCAGTGTTGGGGACAAGGACCCTTTCCTCCCCCACATTTGCCAAACTGAACCTCTGAACAGTATAGCAAGTGTGAAAGTTTCACATTCTAAATCAGGACCAAACAAGGCTCAGCTCACAAGTCCTGTGAAATCAAGAAAAGTACATCAGTTAGATTGTGAGCCCTGGGGTAGCCCAGACCAAACTTCCCACCGCAAGGACTTAAGTCTTAGATTTCCACATGGATAGGATGAGAACTTATGTCTCTGACTGGGACATTAAATACTATATACACCCCATCTCCTACACACTCCTTCAGAGAACAGCCTAGTACCCAAGCAGGCACTCACCTAAGTAATCGTCCATCAAGGAGCCAATAGCAAACTGCAGAAGGGAAGGCAGAAAGAAAAATGATGCCAAGGAAAGCAAGACCTTCCTCCACTTACACTACCAACCCCAGGCCTTCATTCATCCCTCTTTCATGGAAAAAAGCATAGAACTCCCAAGTACTGTGGATGGTAAGAAATCAACATTTCTCAGGCCAGTGAGATGGTTCAGTGGGTAAAAGTGCTTGAAGCATAAGCCTGACAATGTATCTTCCATCCTCAGGACCCATAGTGGAAGGAGAGAACCTGCCCCTATGTAAGCTAATCAAAATTTTAAAAAGCTGGGTGTGGGGACTGGAGAAATGGCTCAGTAGTTAAGAGCATTGACTGCTCTTGCAAAGGACCTGGGTTCGATTCCCAGCACCCACATGGAGGCTAACAACCAATACCAGTTCCAGGGGATCTGCCACCCTCTTCTGACCTCCTTGGGCATTGCATGACACAGGTGCATTTATACACATGTAGACAATACACTCATACACATAAAAAAATAAAACATTTAAAAAGCTTCATGGGTACATTTATACACATGCAGACAATACATTCTTTCATCCATCCCTCATAAAAAATTAAAAAACATTTAAAAAGCTTCATGTAGTGGTACATGTCTTTAATTACAGCACTTAGGAGGCAGACAGGTGGATCTCTCTGAGATCAAGGCCAGCCTGCTCTCCATAGAGAGTTCCAGGCCAGTTGGGGCTACAGGGAGACCCTTTCTCAAAATAACAAAAAATAATTAAAAAAAAAAAAAAATCAAGCTGGGCATTGTGGTGCATGCCTTTAATCCCAGAGCTTGGGAGGCAGAGGCAGGTGGATCTCTGTGAGTTTAAGGCCAGCCTGGTCTATGTAGTGAGTTCCAGGACAGCTGGGGCTACAAGGAGACCCTGTCTCAAAAAGACAAAAAAAAAAAAGTCAGCTAGGAATGTTGGTATAGGCCTCATATTCCTGGCACTTCCAAGGCTGAATCAAGAGAATCATGATCAGTCTAGACTACACAGCAAGCTCCAAGCCAGCCTGAGCTATAACAGCAAGACCCTGTCTCAAAAACCTAAACAAACAAAAGCAACAGTTCTCAGGTTCTATCAGGAAGGAGGGCAAGGGACTCACAATGTCATTCTTGTCTACACGTGTTCCCACAATCTTCAAGCGTATTTCATCATCCTGCTGAATCACAATGTCCTATGGAAAGGGGAGAACCATGTACTCAGCCAGGCCAATACCCACCTCAGTGTGGCCTATCCTCATTCCCCCTCACCTACTTCTTCCTGCTCACCCACCTCATCCATCGTCTTGTAACATGGTGGGTTGGAGTTAGGATCGAACTCCATCTCTGATGGGATGGACTAAAAAGAAAATTGACATGGGGATCAGCACTTCAAGGGCTGCTTGAATAGATGGTCATGAAACATTTTCTCTTCCTTGACCCCACTCAGTATGCCTAAACTTACATGCCTCGAGATGAAGCAAGACATGGGCCCAATTTCTGTGAAGAGTCCAACCTAGGAGGAAAATTATAATGCTTACAAGGTTTTTTTTTGGGGGGGGGGGATGAAGGGGGGAAGGAAGTGCCGTTATCTTTTTTAAAATTTGGGGTTTTTTTTTTGTTTTTGATCTTTTTGAGACAGGGTTTCCCTGTAGCCCCAGCTGGCCTAGAACTCACTATGTGGACCAGGCTGGCCTTGAACTCACAGAGATCTGCCTGCCTCTGCCTCCCCAGTGCTGGGATTAAAGGTGTGCGCCACCATGCCTGGCTTTATTTTTATTTTACATATATATATTTATATATATACATGTATGTATGAATGTATGTTTTGCCTGCATGTATGTAAGTGCACCTATGCAGGCAATGCCCACAGAGGCCAGAAGTTGTTGGATCCCCTGGAACTGGAGTTATGGCCCATTGTGGTTCCCTTGTAGGTACTAGGAACCAAACGGGTCATCTGAATGAACAGCCAATGCTCTTAACCACGGAGCCATCTCTCCATCCCCAAGTTTTCTGATCTAATCATATTATTTGTGCTTATAAGCAGTTTTAACTGTAGTATTTGTCGGCTGGGCTTGGTGGCGCACACCTTTAATCCCAGCACTTGGGAGGCAGAGGCAGGCAGATCTCTGTGAGTTCAAGGCCAGCCTGGTCTACATAGTGAGTTCAAGGACAGCTGCGGCTACAGGGAGACCCTGTCTCAAAAAGACCAAAAACAAACAAACAAACTGTAGTATTTGTTTTCATTTCTCTCTTTCCTTTTAACCTTTCACTTCTTTAAATTTTTATTATCATTGTGGGTGTGTGAAGTGCATATGGAAGTCGGAGGACAACTTTTAGGAATCTTCTACGATAGGTTCTAGGGGTCAAATTCAGATTATCAGACTTACCTGGCAAGTCTTTTTACCTGCTGAGCCATCTAACCCACTCTCCTTTTTCATTTTATTTTATTTTTTTAATATTTTATTATTTTTATTTTATGTATATGAGTATATTGTCTGCCTGTGTATAAGTGCAACTGTGTCATACAATACCCGGGGAGGTTAGAAGACAGCATCGAAACCCCTGGAACTGGAGTTATGGATGATTATTAGCCTCCATGTGGGTGCTGAAAATTGAATCCAGGTCCTTTACAAGAGCACTCAGTGTTCTGAACCACTGAGCCATCTCTCCAGCCTCGACTTTTTTATTTTTTTGGTCTTTTTGAGACAGGATCTCCCTATAGCCACAGCTAGCCTGGAACGCACTTATGTAGACCAGGTTGGCCTTGATCTCACAGAGAACTGCCTGCCTCTGCCTCTTGAGGGCTGGGTTTAAAGGCGTGTGCAACCATGTCCAGCTTACCATTTCATTTTAAATTATGCAAGTATCATACGGCTGTAAAAAGCTTCAGCCTAGGACTTGTTAATCCAGATGTGAACACTTTTGGCCACATGACCTTGGCCAGCATCAACTTCTTTTTGTTTGTTGTGTTTGGGGCTGGGGGTAGTGTTGAGTGTGTGTGTATGCACGGGGACAGAACCCAGGTCTCACATACACTAGGTAAGTACCATTGAAGTACAATCCTTAGCCTTTAAAGGTTTTTAATTTTATATGTATTTGTGTCTGAGTATATGTATGTGCACCCATGCATACAGGTGCCCATAGAGGTCAGCGAGGGCATCACATCCTCTGTAACTGGTACAAGAGGTTGTGAGCCCTGATGTAGATGCTAGGAACTGAACCTGTGCCTTCTGTAAGAGCAGAACATGCTTTTAACTGCTAAGCCATCTCTTCAGTCCCTTTAGCCTTTTTTTTTTTTCCTTAAACTCTTTGAGACAGGATCTCATTAAGGTGCACTGGCTGGCCTTGTACTCATTTTATAGCCCAGGCAGCCCTTGAATGTGTGGTCCTTCCACCTCAGCCTCTCAAGCAGTGGAGATGCTTTCATAGCAAGGACTTTACCCCCTGAGCAATCTCCCAGAGCCTTATTTTGAGACATGGTCTCCCTTTATAGCCCAGGGTGGCCTCAAACTTAGAGCAATCTTCCTACGTCAGCTTTCCAAGTGCTAGGATTACAGTGTAAAATACCACGCCAGGTTTGTATAAAGCTCATATCATACAGTCAGTGGGGATGTTTGCACACAGCCAGTCCACATTTACTACTCGGTCAATGCAGGCTTCTACCACTATGACTCACAAGCCCACAAGTTAGATGGGGCATATTGCTTGACAGGTGAGGAAACTAAAAAATGACTGAGGGTCTGGAGAGATACTGAGCAGTTAGGAGAACATACTGTTCTTGCAGAAAAACCATGTTCAGTTCCCACTACCCACATGGAGTGGCTCACAACCTCCTGTGACTCCAGGTCCAGAGGATCCCAAACTCTCTTCTGGATTCTACAAGTACTTGTAGGGACCTGCACATACTGACCCCTCGCCTCCCATACACACATACACTTAAAAATAAAATACATCTGCCCAACACAGGTGCACTCACACGCAGGCAATACACTCATACAGGCAAAATGAATAAAATATATTGAAAAATAATAAAATAAATCTGTGGTGGCTCACACCTTTAATTGCAGCACTAGGGAGGCAGAGACAGACAGACCTATGTGAGTTCAAGACCAGCCTGGTCTACACAGTGAGTTCCAGGCCAGCCAGGACTACACAGTGAGAATCTGTCTTAAAAAAAAAAAAAAAATAGTAATAATAATAAATAATAAAACAGAAAAGAAAAAAGAAGAAATGACTTTTCTAAAGGCAGAGTTAGTGAAGTGGACTGCGGACTCAATGCTGATCTTCGGGAACTACACACCCCACAACCCTTTCCTAGGAATGGTCTTACCTTGTTGACCTGAGTGACCACAGCATCCACGACCTCACCTTTAAAGGGCCGGAAAACAATGGCCTTGTACTTTACTGGATAAAGGACAAAACCTCGGCCAGGCTGGATCACACCTGCGCCAATATTGTCAATGGTCGTGACGGCAATTACGAACCCATACCTGCAGGGAGGATGAAGCAAGAAAGGCGTTTCATGTGAAGAGCCTCTAAAGCGCCATCAGCAACACCTCTGCTTGTGTGACACAGATCAGTATCAAGTCATAAGATGCTTTCAGCGTTTCACAACAAATGTCCAAGAAGGGCCAGGTGTGCTGACACTCACAGGTCCGAAGCAAGAGGACTGGACAGAGTTCCAGGCCAGTGTGGAGCTCCATGGTAAGACCCTGTCTCTCAAAAAAACCTAAAACGGTCCGGCGTGGTGGCGCACACCTGTTGTCCCAGCACTTGGGAGGCAGAGGCAGGAGGATCTCTGTGAGTTCAAGGCCAGCCTTGTCTACATAGTGAGTTCAGGACAGCTGGGGCTTACAGGGAGACCCTGTCTCGAAAAGACAGAAAAAAAAAAAACAAAAAACTAAAACGTTTGCATATTAACCGAATGTCTGACCTCACCTAAGTGAAGGAAGTTTTGTTATCAAACTCTGCAGAGGGCCTAAAGCAGGAAAAAGCTGCCTGCCTCGGGTAGTTGGAAGGCGAAAAGGGTGCCCCAGAGTGAGCGGCAGGCCCTCACAAGGAGGAGCTGCACAGAGGCTACAGGCTAGGGCCGCTGTGTGTGCATCCATCCGACCACTCACTTCCCGGTGCAGGTCCCCTCCACCTCCGTGAAGAGCTTCTGCTTCACCGTGTTGAGCAGGTTGGGGCCGAAGTAGCGCGGGTGCAGCAGGATCTCATGCTCCAGGGAGATCTGCAGAGCAAGAGGCAAGGAGACCCGGCCATCCCGGTGAGGACACTGGGCGCCCGGACGCCCTTTCCCCGGCCCCTACCGGCGCCGCCACCACCCCGCGTCCAGCTCACGTGGTAAAACATTTTCCGGAGAACCTGGGACAGCTGAGCCCACCACTTGGCTACCAGCGGCCTCCAGGGCCTCGCCGGAAGCACATACAAGACGCCCCAGCACCGCTTCCGGTTCCCTTCTGCAGCTCTGTTGGGGCTCACCGTTATGGGCGGGGCTTTGTGAAGCTCCACCCCTCTGGCGCCCTTATTGGCTGTTAGATTTCTAGATAGGTTTTGTTTGTTTGTTTGTTTGTTTGTTTGTTTGTGGGGTTTTTTTTTGGCCTTTTTGAGACAGGGTCTCCCTGTAGCCGCAGCTGTCCTGGATTCACTATGGAGACCAGGCTGGCCTTGAACTCACAGAGATCCATCTGCCTCTGCCTCTGAGTGCTGGGATTAAAGGCGTGCGCCACCACGCCCGGCCGATAGGCTCTTTTTTAAGAAGAAAAAAAATATTTTATTACTTTTATTTTATGAATATGAGTGCATTGCCTGAATGTGTGTGAGTGCACCCGTGTCGTGTAATGCCGCAGAGGTCAGAAGAGGGCTTCGGATTCCCCTGGAACTGGAGTTAAGGACAGTGGGTTCTGGGAATCGAACCCTGGTCCTCTGCAAGAGCAATCAGTGCTCTAAACCGCTGAGCCATCTCTCCAGCCCGGGCTGTCAGATTTCTAAATACCACAAATTAACCTATAATGCTCAGTGAATACTTCTAAGCAGAGTTCATTATTAGAAAAAGATGAAAGCAAAGTGGGAAGCCGTGCGTGGTGGTGCATGCCTGTAGTCCCAGCACTTGGGAGGCAGAGGCAGATGGATCTCTGTGAGTTCGAGGCTAGCCTGGTCTCCATAGTGAGTTCCAGGACAGCTGGGGCTACAGGGAGACCCTGTCTCAAAAAGGCAAAAAAAAAAAAAAAAAAAAAAAAAAAAAAAAGGGGGGGCAGAGATGTCTCAGCGGTTAACTGGCTGCTCTTAGAGGTCCTGGATTCGGCCACATGGCAGCTTCTCACCTCCACTGGCATTGCACCTACCACCCGGGTGCTCTTACATACATGCAGGCAATAGACTCATGCACATAAAATAAAAATAATAGATAGAATATTTTTAAAATAATCTAAAAAATGCAAAGTGAAGTTGGGCAGGCCTTTAATCCCAGGACTTGAGAGACAGAGGTGGGTGATCTCTGTGAGATGGAAGTAAGCCAGCCTGGTCTACATAGCAAATTCTAGGTCAACCAGGGCTACAGGGAAACCTTGTCTCAGAAAACCATGTTGGTCCCAGGGATAGAACTCAGATCATTAGGTTTGGTGACAGATCCTGTTACCTACTGGTCCACCTCTCCAGCCTTTGCTTTGTTTATGAAGTGCAGGGGATTGAATCTAAGGTTTTCTTTGTCCTCCAGAAGCACCCTACCAACTGAGCTGTATTTCCAGCCCAGTCATCTTTTTTAAGTTTATGTATATGAATGTTTTGCCTGCATGTATGTAAGTGTTCAGTGTGCAGTGCCCACAGAGGCCAGAAGACAGGTTAGATCCCCTGGAACTGGAGTTATAGATAGTTGTGAGCTGCTATGTGGGTGCTAGGAACAAAATCCTGTTCCTCTGAAAGAGCAGGAAGTGCCCTTAACCACTATGCCATTTCTGCAGCCCTATCTTTCTTTATTTTGAAGACAGGATCTCCCTGTAGCCCAAGTTGACCTGAAACTCAGTTATGTAGACTAGGCTGGCCTCAGACTCACAGAGATTTGCCTGCTTCTGCCTCCCCAGTGCTGGTATTAAAGGCCTGTGCCAGCACACCCAACTCCCATCTATTATTTTTTAAAACTTTATAACATTCACCATATATTCCAGATGTGGTGTGGCACTTCACACCTGAATCCCAGCCCATGGGAGGCTGAGGCAGGAGTAGTTCAAGGCCAGCCTGGGCTACATAGTAAGTTTTAGGCCAGACTGGGTTACTGAGTGAGACCCTGTATCAAAATGGAAAAACAATAGTTGTATAGGACTATCCTCCAGAGCCAGATAGACACCATCTTCATGAGTTCTGCAAAACCTGCTGGTAAAAGATCATCACAGCTGGGCTTGTTGAGTGTTGATGTACAGTCATAGTGTTATAGGACAGAATTCACAAAAAATCACCAACACCACTTTAAGAAAAGTAGCACGGTAAATTTTAATTTTCGACCGGCCGGGCTGTCTATCTCAGGAGTAGAAGCAGCCCTGATTATTGTCAGGTCAGAGTTTTTATAGGATTACAGAATTATTATTAAAACAGGACACTTGGGGACTGGAGAGGTGGCTCAGCGGTTAAGAGCACTGACTGCTCTTGCAGAGGACCCGAGTTCAATTCCCAGCCCCACATGGCAGCTACAAACTGTCCTTAACTCCAATTCCAGGGGCATCCAAAGCCCTCTTCTGACCTCCACAGCATTGCACGACACGGGTGCACTCACACACATGCAGGCAATACATTTGTACACATAAAAATAATAAATAAAAATTTAAAAAAAACAGGATACTTGTGAACCAATCAGGTTTGTACAACATAGCAGAATTTTGACTCTATTAATCAACAACCAATCATTATACAGACAAGTGATACAGTCATATAACTTGGCAATCAACTTTGTAATTTTAAAATTAGTCCACTTCCTAGCCATAACAAGCATAGTAAGAAAGCTGGAATCAGCAGTTACCGGGTGGTCACACAATAACAGGGTACCAAGGGTGGTCTTATGCCCTGTGTCAAGGTGACCCAAGATAGCAAGCGGATTACAGAAGCAAAAACAATGTATAATGTCTGGAATTAGCACATTGCATGGTTCATGGCTAGGACAATTTTCCAAGACCCAAAGTTGCCCCCCTTTTCCTTTTGGTGTGGAGAAAAGGTGCTGCTAAAATGGCTCTGAACAAAATGGAGTAACTTAGGTAAGTGCTGAGCCAGTTGACTCCCCACTCCTGTTGTAAGGTTAATTCTTTGACTTATTAGATACAGCTTTCTTTATGTACTGGTATTAACTGTTTATATTGGGTTCTTAATATCATGAGTTTTACTGTCTGGAGTCTCTGATTAATAAATTTTACAAGGGCATTTAAGATATAAGGCCCAAGAGTAAAACTTAAAAGAATAAGAATCACAGGCCCAGCAACAGCACTTAACAAGGTGGTCAGCCAGGGTGACCAGGAAAATAAGGACTCATATCAGTTTTGGTGATTACTGAGATCCCTTTCTCGAGCACTAATTCATTGCTGGACTAACCTAATACTATCTCTAATCACTCCAGTATGGTTAGCATAGCAGCAACATTTTTCACTCAGTGCCATGCATAATCCTCCTTGTTGCATAAAAACAAGATCTAGCCCTTGACAGTTTTGTAACATTACCTCAGCTAAAGTGGGCATAAGTTAAGTTTTTCCATAGTTATACCAGGAGTGCCATGCTGAAAGAAAATCCATTTATCCTTTGATCCAATCCAGGAAGCAAATGTCTCACAACCCCAAGTTTCATAATGCCATTCATTTTCACGGTTACAGTCTGGACTCCCATCTGCTGGGCATCAATAAACCTGTAAGCTTTGCAGTTGTTTTTCATGACTAGGAGTTCCATATCCCCAGGGTCGAGGAGATGGGACATGAATAGTTACTCTTACTTGTAAAGAAAACAGATCACAAAGGCCAAACAGAAAGCGGGGGGAGTGGTTAGTGGTAGTGTTAGTGGCTAAGATCTTACCATCTGAAGTTCTTTTTAAGCCCAATTATCAGGGGATGGCTCATGCATGGGGATTTCAGTCTTTGTACCCAGTTACAGTTTTTATTATCCAGAAGGAGAACATAAGAATTAAGATTCTTTTATCAGTTTTACTTTGAGAGGATTGTCTATTCTTTTTACTGTCCATGTTTGAGGAATGTGGTCCAGATGAGCTCTCTTTAACTTGGGAATGGTGAATCCAGTGGGCTTGTCAGGCAACTTTAACAGCAGTTGGAGTCAGCAAGATGATTGCGTACAGACCAGCCCACTTGGGTTCGAGGTTAGGTGCTTGATGTCTGTGGACTCAAATCCAATCACCAGGTTCCAGATCTGTCTGTCCAGTGGTGAGTGAGGGATGACTGGGCTCATGAGCCTCCTGCACTAGTCCGTGTACTTGGCTCAGAGCGTTTTGCAAAGCCTGCAATGACTGTAAAAGGCTGTAATTAGATATTTCCTCCAGGTTTTCCTCCCCTAAGCGGGAAGTAAGGGGTGGAGGTCACCCAAACAAGATCCCAATGGGAATAATTCTACATAAGGAGTATATCTGGATTTTTTTTTTTTTAGAAAAAGCATTTCATTATAGTTTTAACATAATAACAGTTTCCAGAGCAAAGATATATCTCTTTCAAAAGTGGATATAAAATTTTTAGGTTTGCTGTTGAAATAATATGGTTATACAATACTGAACTCAGTATAAGCCCTGGAAAGGGCAAAAGGAAGAGGACTTTACTCTTCCTTACTTACCAGTTACCATCAGTCTCTGTTATTAACTTAGTCAAAGTTTCCTTGATAGTTCTATTTATCCTTTCCATCTGTTCTGCACTCTGGGGTGAGATACACAATGTAATTTCCAGTCTGGAGGATAGAAGCTAAGGTTTTAGATACACAGGATATGAAAGCTGGGCCGTTGTCAGACCCCAGACCAATAGGGATGCCAAATCAAGGTACAATCTCATTTAGTAGCTTCTAGGAGAGCAAGGATTTTTTTCCTTATTTTATTATTTTTGAAGAGGTAACCCAATTTCCCTATGGGGAATCAGGATGCAGACCGCTCTGGCTTCTTCCATGCTGAACAGGGACATAGAGTGTGGCAATTGGGATATCCCTTCAGTGGGCCTATTTAAAAGACTCTCAAATTAAGACATGAAGGAGAAATAAAGGCAAGAATAGTTAGCATTACAAGTTCTAGACAGGGAACCAGAAGAAATACTTTAAAAGTCCATTAGAATTTTCAGTTAAGGCTTTCAAAAGCATCCATCTACTGTTTTTTTGTTCTTGTTGTTTTTTCATTTTTCTTTTAGCCGCCAAGACTGGACTTGAGAACGATGAACTTAGGATTTGTTTTCAGGTACTTTGATAGCTGTTGGAGTGGCTAGAATCAGTGTCAGTTCCCTCTCAAAGGCTTCTAGATAGGGGGAGAAAACAAAT